CACGCAATCCTCCTCTGAAAAAGGTAAACTTATCACCATGATAGCCAATGTCCTCCAACAAGCAGTCCGACAGGGCATCTTGGAAGGCTTGAAGTCGGGCCTGCTGCCATGGGGCTCCTCCTTCTTTCTCTGATGATAGCAATATCTCATTGAAATCACCAATAGCAACCCACGGGAGGTTGGATTGAGCATGAAGGTCTCGGATCAACCGGTCGAGTTTTGCTAGACCTACGGGCACATCGTACGGAATCTAATTTACGGGCTGAATTGGCAGGAGCAGATTGGAAACTACCGGGCCCACTATTGAAACCGGGGGAGGAGAGTATACCTGGCCAAAACTCGGGCTGGACCGGGCTTCGGGTCGCGCCTAGTCAAGCCCGAGCCAAAAAACCCAAGCCCAAGCTCGGCCCGGCCCGGCCATCGGGCCTGGTTTTTAGGCCTGAGCTTGGCCCAAACACATAAAAGCCCGACGGGCCTCGAGCCGGGCCTCTTCAAGAAATTACAAAAACGACGGGCTCGAGTCTGGCCCGGCCCGGCCTTCGGGCTCAAAATCTAGGCCCGAGCCCGGCCCGAAAGCAGTGTCGGGCCGAACCAGGTCGGGCTTTTTCGGGCCGGGTCGGCCGGGCCGGACTTCCCATGGCCAGGACTAGAGGAGAGATTAGTGGGTGGAGCTATACCTAGCCAAAAGTTGGGTCGGGCCAGGCTTCGGGCCGGACCTAGACAAGCCCAAGTCAAAAAACCTAGGCTCGAGCCTGGCCCAGCCCGGCCATCGGGCCTGGTTTTTAGGCCCGAGCCCAGCCTGAACACATAAAAGCCCGACAGGCTTTGGGCCTTGGGCCGGGCCTCTTTAGGAAATTGCAAAAATGACGGACCCGGGCCCGGGCCGATCCGGCCTTTGGGCTCAAAATCTATGCCCGAGCCTAGCCCGGGAGAAGCGTTGTGTTGGGCCGGATTGGGCATTTTCGGGCCGGGCCGGGCCGGGCTTCCCATGTCCAGGACTAGGTGGAGCCAGGTACGTCCGTAGATAACAATCCGTAGGAGTCAGCCCGTAGCTATAGCATTTTTGTTCTCTCGGGCATACGTGAAACATGAGCTCCTAGTGGATTTCCCATTTCCTATGGAATCACGGGACATGAGCAGTATGCTAGAGCTAGAAAACATCGACTAGATTGGCACCAGAAGCTAGAAAACATTTCGTGTATCAAATACCAATCTTTAGTTGGCTAGGCTTGGATAGCTTTTGTAAAAAGAGCCTAATGATCCGAATTCAATTTCTAGAAGGTCAGTATTGGGCGCCGGTGCGCCGGCCGAAAGGTTCGGCCGGTCTACCCCCAGCCGCCTGATCTAGCAGGGCGAGGCCGTCCGATCGCACCTTCTCTTCTATCTATTTCTTACCTTATCCTCTCCTCGAGCACACACACAGAGAGAAGCAACTTAGTCAGGGCCGCCATGGATGCGCGACCACGAAGCACCGCCGGCTCGCACTGACCGCCGCACTATCGCAACTGCATGCCTCGTCGTCGCCGTCACTGCTCGCCGGTTGGAGCACTGGTCGCCGCCTCAGTTCGCTAACCGGGTCGCTGCCCTCCCCCCTCCCACCGACCGTCGTTCGAGCAGCCCCGACGACCTTGCAGCGCCCCTCACCGCGGTGGCCGTCGCAGTTCGCCGCGGTGACCTGTCACGGCTCTAAAAATGCTTCGGTTGTTGCAGCTTTGGAATTGCTGGTTCCAGCAAAATTAAAAACTGGTTGAAGCAAAATTTCTTCCCGGTTGTATCAAAAATTGCTTTGCATCTCTGAAAAAACATAGGCTCCAGCAAAAAAATCCAAAGGTTCCAGCAAAAAAAGATGCTGGTTGAAGCAAAATTGCTTGTTGGTTGTATCAAAAATTGCTTGCCGATCCCATCGAAGAAGAAAGCCATTGCCGCCATGGACAAACACCGCCATGGGTGGATGCAGCAAAATTTATCTTCGGTTCCAACAAAATTATAACATGGTTGTAGCAAAAAATCGACTGGAAAAACAGGTTATGTCATGGAGATAGATGCAGCACAAATCCACAGAACACCGGTAATAGCAAAAACCAAAAACAATTGTAGCAAAATTATTCGCCGGTTCCAACAATATCAGCGTGGTAGCAGGATTTGGTGGGTTGGTGGTAGCAAATACATGGGCTGGTTCCAGCAAAGAAAAGCATGCTTGTAGTAAAATCTTGTTGCGGCGGTCATGGAGACGAGCACAACCAGCTGGGCGGCTGTGGCGACAAGCGCTGGTTGCCGCACGCTTGCGGTGATGCAGTGGCTCGCCGGAGCGGCGTGAGGCGGGTGGATAGTGGTCGCTTGCCCGAGCAGCGTGGGCAGGTGGTGGTGGGCTCGCCGGAGCAAGGATGCGACGGCGTGAGCGAGAGGCAGAGACGAGGTAGGCAAGATATGAGCGAGAGGATGAGTGGATGGGGATGGGCGGTTGATAGGATAAGGACGTGGGTGCCTGGGGTTACGCGTGGGACCCATGGAGACGTGGTGTGCGTGAGGCACTGCAACCGTTATGTTGTGCGCGATGAGAGCGGTGCGACCGGCCGAAAGTTCGGCCGGCGTGCCGGATACAAGCATTTCCCTTCTTAAAATTGACAGGTGATGCGAATTGATAGGTGATGCACAGGGATTTTCTTTCGTTTATTGAGAATCAAGTTTGGTGCATGGTGGAATCACTCATCAAAAAATATCTTGATACTTATTTTAAAAAAATTCAAGGACCATGTTTATTTTGGTACTCATATTAAAATGGTTGTATGCATCCCTAGTTGGTGCAGAGGCCGGGGAAGTGAAATTCTCCCTCATTTTGACATTCGGCGCCTCTTCATCAAGAGGATAGGAGTAGCGACAGGTGTCGTCTAGATGGTGGCCTCGGACTTATTGTTGTATTACCTTGTAAGGTCTTTACGAATAATAAATAAAATGGTCGCATGCATCTCCCAGATGCAGAGGTCGGTGGTGTTTTCTCCTTTAAAAAAGTAGACCCAAATGCACAAGTACCAATATTTTTTGAACAATACATGTGGCCTGCAAACAGACTTGGTCACAGCACACAAGGAGTGACAAAACCAAGGTTTCGGCAACTGACATCATAGCCCCTGATGCACATCGGATCCCAACAACACTACACTCGCAAAAGTTTACATAGGATTGATCTTAGATGAGATTATTTTATTGAAGATCAAGAGAGAGAAAGACATCTAGTTACTGCCGTGGACCCATAGGTCCTGTGGGAACTACTCACAAATCATCGCGGAGGCGGCAAGGTTGATGAAGAACCTCCCCAATGATTTTCTCCTCCGGCAGAGTACCGGCGAAGGTCTTCAGATGGGACCGCAGAAGAACAGATGCTTGCGGCGGTATAAGAATTGTCTCGGGTCTCGTTCTGGGGTTTTGAAATATTAGGGAATTTATAAGACAGAGATTAGGTCAATTGGAGCCACGGGGGCCAGAAGTGTTGACCCCAACCCCCCTAGGGGTGTGCCGTGTGAGCTTGTCGCTCCCTCGTGCATCTTCTGGTCTCTACTCAAGCTTCTAGGGTCTCTCATAGTCCAGAAAAAATCACAGTAAAGTTTCATCGTGTTCGGACTTAGTTAGTACTTCGTTAGTACTCCCTTCATTTTATAATGTAGTATGCTCACACTTTTCGAGATTTAACTGTGACCATAATTTTAACTTTCGAGTAAGAATTTTCTGCGAGACAAATAAAACGCAAAAAAAAAGGAACTGACACTGAACACTATGTTAATAGTTTAGTACCAAAAAATGATATAAAATGACATATAAAGTATGTAAGAATGATAATATAGTAGCATAAAACAATTAAAAATATAGATGCATTGAAGATGTATCGAATCTCACCACTCGAACAAAAGGTTACCACAACACATGTCTATATAACAAAAAAACACCACTTTGCATCTGGGTAGCAGGGGCATGCAACCAAACAATCATGCGTGTATTCTTGTTCATTCATATTGGGAAATGCAGACAACCAAACTACGTACGGAACATGATTTTGTGTCTTTATCCACTCTGTCAGGCCCATCAACTTAGTACTGGTGGTTTGGTTGAGACTAAGACCGTATGAGTTCTTTA